ATAATATAGGTTACACCATATGTGCTTAATACATATATAACATATATAACATCACACAAATAACATAAGTATGTAATGATAGACACGAAAATAGGTTAAATCATATATAAAAGACATATATAGCATACATACCTGCACACCATTAGCATAGATATGTAATGACAAACTAGATAATAGGTTAACCCATATATAAAACACCAGCGTTATATTTATATATCATACTTTAGTGATCATATACATACAAATAAATAATAATAATAATAATAATAATAATAATAATAATAATAATAATAATAATATAATGGTGATTACCTCCTTCAAAGCTTTCTTCCCTTTTTTTTTTTCTTTTTTCTTTCCTTCTCACCGTCAGATTCATCGGCCAAATTATCATCTCCAATGTCTTTTTCGTCCTCATAATCATTGTAATTCTCATCTTATTTAATTTTTCCTTTACCCTTTCTTTGCTTTTTTTTGCTTGCTTCATTAACATCACTATCACTGTCTTCATGCAAGTCTGCCAAAAAGCTTCCCATCAACCTCCACATTTGGTTCATGGCAGCAACCCATCTACCAATCTTATCTTAAATGATGTCAAATTCTTTCTCCACAACTTGAATATGTTCTGGCGGATACTTTCCAACTATCATTGACTTATCTTTGTCAATCACCAACATCAGCTACAATACAAAACGTTATCAATTAATTCTAGGTAATAAAAAGATGGAAAATTACGCAACAGAAAAAAAATATAATATGGCACTTACTTTATTTGTTTTGTATCCTTCTTTTAACCCGTGAATTAACTGGTTCAAACTCTTCATATTTACATCAGTCCAGTCCCTAATCCTAGGTAAGTCATATTTCCAGATGTTGTACAGTCCATCCCGAGGAGAATACTCACAGAATATTGCCTGAACATGCATCAACAAACAATCTAAGTCATATTGTCCTGTACAATGTGTATGTAATAACAAACAAGATAATAGGTTAACACATATTTAAGCATCTAACATTAGAGTAGGATACCACACTTATGTGATCATACACTTACTATTTGGTCATTACTTACGATACAGTAGTATAACATACTATGCTGTGGTATTAATAATAACTAAAAGCACTTTTTGGTAAAAATACCAATAAACCTACAATAAAATAGTCAGTGTCATTAAATTACTGGTGATCATTCACATTCCATGTCTAAAAAGCACAGTACTGTAGTAGAGTCATGTTAAAGAATATGTAATCACACAAGCACATATTGGTTATAACCCATATAAACAAACAAACCTTATACCATTAAAAGATTTTTTTGAACAGAGTTTCTGTTATGGTTTAGTAATCTTTTATATACTGATTGGTCTATACCTATTAAAATGCATAACAAAATCTTTCTTAAACAATGTATCTTATATGGTTTTGTAATCATTTATAGTTTCATAGGTCAATTCCTAATATAATGCAGCACAAAAAAAAAATTTATACTTATATTTTTGTATTGTAATCACATATATAAACATTGGTCAATACCTAAAAAATGCACAACATTAACATACCATCATCAACAAGTACAACCACCCAAATGCAGAGGTGGATCTTGGGACTTGAAATCTTGTATGGCATCAACCATACTATCCAACACAAATTTTGCAAAATTCAAGTGACCTATACACTCTTCTTCAACTACAAGATGAAGCCATTTGGTAGGTGGATTTTCCTCCAGGTTTGGAAAAATTAAAGCTATCATGACAAAAAGCGTAAACATTCGATCAAAGTTTGGATCGTCATGTGCAACTTTCCTTAACTCAGATGCCATTCCTTGTATTTTCAGCGTCGTAAACCTATGTAATGCTTCATCTACAACACTCTTGCCATCTAACTCCGCGCTATCAATATCAAAACCATGGTCCTTAAACCCCAATAGGTACTCAACATGGTTAGGTGTGATTTCCAATCTTTCACCAAACACCCCAAGAGTTCTTGTGGACGGATCAAAGTGTTCAATAACCCACTTGCACATTGTTTTCCTAGTTGTTTTGGTGTTGTAATGTACAAGGAATCCAAATCCTATGGCCTCCAACTTTTCCTTATTCTCTCTTGGTAAGCCTTTAACTAATGCAACAAATTCTTCAAGGTTACACATTGGGTCCCATGATACCTACAAAAACAATGTGACATGTTGCGTTATGATAAGTACAAACATATATTTTAATGAATACACAACAAAATTCAATATATAGAAAATGTACCCCTGTTTTTGTTGAACTTCTCACAGGGAAAGGTTTAAGTTTCTTATCTACTTGAGTAGAAGAAGCACTTGCACTTGGCTTTCTTTTTCGGGAAGACATGGTTATCCTTGTTTCTGCTTACAGAGAAATCAAATTTATATTCAAACTAAGACAATTTGAATTGAGTAACAACAAGGAAGAACCAAAGAATTCGAACAAAAAAAACTAATTAAATTAGACAAATAAAAAAATTCAATATAAACAACACTTCATACATAATTCAAGTAATTTTAAAAGTAAACATTTGTTGAAAATTACATTCATATCCTTTACAATCAAGCCCATATACATATACACACATTACTTAATTTCAAAAAATTCAGCAACATTTAAAAAATAAGAAAAGCACCCAATTGAACTAATTGTAGTTCGGAATCACTACTAACATGATTTCGTAAGTGATAAAATGGTGCCAAAACAAGTAATTAAACCATCAATCAACAAATTAAAATCATGTATCGTATACCTAAAAACCCAATTAAGTACCGAAAATAATATTTGTCATTGTTCTTATTTAATTTTGGAAGTTGCAAATTTTCAATCTATAGAATACATATGAAAAGTCGAAAAAAATATACACAAATTACATGAGTAACAATGATGATGGTTGAATGGTACTTACAATACTAATGTCGGTTTAAGTGCGAAAGGGTTGCCGTCGTTGTCGCCGCCGCCTCCGTCACCATTCGTTTCTCGAAATTTTAACTTCAATGGTGAATGCTTATTGTTGAAGGAAACTAGAGAAAGAAAGAATGAAATAGAGAGAGAAAGAGTGAAATAATGAAAGAAGTGAATAGTGACCGCCAACCCACCCACCCTTGGTATATGTCTGAAGTACAAAATTGACGGTTGTAATTTTTTTTTGGCTTAAAAATTGTTTTCATTTATTTATTTATTTTTAATTGAAAAAAATTATTACTCCAAAAAGCCTTATAATATGGTAATGTTTTATTTGCAAATGAATATGACTATATGAGTATTGTTTTATACAATATGTACACTTTCCTCTAAAAAACAAAGATAATATGTTATTGCTATTTATATGTTTTTTTTTGGAAACTAAATAATTTAGTATTTTTTTAAAAAAATTGTGTATTTATCTAACATCAGAGATTCTTTACTATCTTTTGCTGTATGGAATAATATATATTTTCCAATTATTATCGTATTTACTTAACTATTATTGTTCGTTTATGCTGAGAGCAATTCCTATATAACATACTATTTTGAAATTTGAATTTTAAACTAAAATATTAAACAAGAACATCGCGTTACATTGTTTTGTAATTTATGCTTTTAAGCTCATAATGGATTTTTTCTTAGAAGACGACGTATCTGATATAGAGGAAACTCCTATACATCGAGTTGATGGTAGCGTATGTGATTCAAAGGTATGTGTTATTAAAATATACTGCTTAATTTATATATTATTTTTTTTAACAGATAAAACTTTTCACATCAAATCTGTATATATAGGCCATTTACTAATGTCTAGTTCATTGTAATTGCTTTGAAAATATTTCCACAAGACAAATAATCAAGAGATATCCGAGAATGAGGATGAGATTATTGGGATACAAGAACTTAAGGTATTACTCAGAAACTACCAATATGGAATTGACCTATGTTCACATTGGTCATTACTTTTCTTTTTAATAGACTATGTACAACTAGATAGCACAATCTTACTTTAGATACATTACCTATATTATGTAGGATACTACCAATGGGGATGATAGCAATGGAGATGATGACAATGGAGATGGTGACGATGGAGATGAAAATAATAATGAAGATGATGACATAAATGACACAGAAATCAACTATGAGTTACCAAAATCGTTTAGAGGTTTAGAAGTCTGGTAAGAAATTGGCAATAGATTAGATGATTTTACATTGGAAGACATACAACAATTATCGTTCAAAGATCTTCAAACATGCTTTGATTTTTACAATATGTATGCCAAGTGCACGGGGTTTTGAATACGCTATAAGCATACAAGACTAAGCAAAATTGATGGACATCCGACCTCACAAATCATTTGGTGCAATAGGCATGGTTTTTGAGAAGCAAAACACCTTCTCAGACCTAATAGGAAGTGTAAGGAAAAACCAATAACTCGATGCGGTTGTAAAGCAGTGATTAATTTTAAGTGGGATCACCAAAAGGATTCATGGTATGTGAAAAATTTTGTGACTGAGAATAACCATACCATATCATATAAGTACACATTTATCAGCTGCAAAACCAATACCGAAACTGTCTTGGCATACTTGGGTAAACAGCTTCGGACCCAAACTTTTTTCTGTGATATAAACGACATCCAGTTATAGGGATAGATAAAATGTTTTGGTGTGATGGGATAAGCCAAGGGGATTACAAGGCTTTCGGGTTGGTAATTGCGTTTTGATACTACTTACAAAGTCAACGCATACCATAAACCTTTTGTTGTTATTGTTAGTGTGAATCACCACAGAAAGACTGTACCATTGGGTGTTACTCTTGTTGCAAACGAAACAACATATACCTACATATGGGCGTTAAAACAATTACTTGAGGCAGGTGGCGATGTCGCTCCCCATACTGTTTTCACAGACGGGGACAAGGCCATGTCAAAAGCAATTTTGGTGGTGTTCCCACACGCTCATCACAGACTATGCGTGGATGGAGCTCGGACACCAACTGAGTTCGAGGAGGCGTAGGAAGATTTAATGAAAGCATACCCTAAAGTTAGAGATAAAAAGTGGGCAAAAGATCTGTACAGTGACAAAACCAAATGGGCTGAGGCTTTCATGGTTGAACAGTTTTATGCAGGTAAGTGTATTGAAATTTAGATGTAATCACTAGACCCATGATAGGTTATAGCCTATATATGAATGAAACATGTCTTATGTCCCGTGAGAAGATAATCAGAACAAGTGTAAGTGTCCATGGGAGAAGAAGCATGGGAAGATAGTGTGCACTTGTCAGTTTGAGAACAAGTGTCACTTCAAAATTTTATTAAGGCAGATAAGAATGGAGGATACATTGCAGGTGAGGAACTTAAACTTACACCACACATGTGGGTTTCATCATGAGAGTTCTAAGGTCACTTCAGAGTTTTTAGCAGATAGGTATTTAGATGAGTGGAAAGTTGATCCCACTTAGAAGCTTAAGGTGTTCATAGACAGAGTGTACATGAATTTGGGGGTGCATATTGGTTACTATAAGGCTTGGTTTTCCAGGGCAAGGGTCAAGTTAATTCTGTATGGAGATTCTGCTGAGGAGTATGCACGAGTGTTTGATTATGGGTTTGCTGTGCTGAAATACAACCTAGGATCTTCAGTAGTTGTTGTCATTGAAGGGGTTGAAAGGCCTCCACCTATATTTCAAAAGATTTATATCTGTTTTGAAGCTTGTAAAGTAGGATTCAAAAGGGGGTGCAGGCCCATTATTGGATTAGATGGGTGTCATTGGAAAGGTGCTTTCCCTGGCATGATACTTGTTGCTGTGAGTAAAGATGACAACAACAATATCTACCCTGTTGCTTGGGCTGTGGTGGAGGTAAAGAACAGAGATACATGAATTTGGTTTTTAGAGTTGCTAATGAAGGATATTGAGAAGACAAAGGGGAAAGGGTTGACCTTGATGTCAGACAGGAAAAAGGTACAAATGTCTTCCTCATTCTTTTCATTTGTCTTCTGTAAAAAAAGTATCACTTTTTTACTAAATCATATTTGTAATGCAGGGACTTTTGGAAGCCTTTGTTGTTGTGACTCCAAATGCTGAAATCAGGTTTTGTGTAAGGCACATTTGGGCTAATTTCAAGCTTAAATTTGGTGGTGAGGCTTTCAAAGAGCATTTTTGGAAGTCAGCAAGGTCAACAACAAGGGTATGTGTGTTTTTGACCTTTCAAAGAGCATTTTTCAGTATTTATGACTTTTGTATTCTCATCTAAAGTACAACATTATTTGCATTCATGTTTAGGCTGATTTTGAGCTGAACATGGCAAAGATAAATGAATTGTCTCCAGATGCATTCAAATACTTGGATGCAATTCCTCCTAATCACTGGGTGAAATATGCATTCTCCACATTATATAGTAAGTCAGACATGCTGCTGAACAACATATGTGAGAGCTTTAATGGTGTGTTTAGAGATGCAAGGGACAAGCTAATAATAACATGCCTTTAATGGATTAGGAGGTATGTTATGAAGAGAAACACTGAGAAATGGGAAGCTGTGCAAAGTGTTGAAGGCAGATTTATGCCTTATGTTGCCAAGGTCTTCAAATTTGTCTCATAGTTGGCTAGAAACTGTGAAGTGATTCCTTTAAGGCTGGACATTTGGGAGGTGGACTACTACAATGATAGATATGTAGTCAATTTGGGACAGATAACATGTACTTGCTTTAGATGGGAGCTCACTGGGATACCATGCGCTCATGCTTGGGCTTGTATCATTAAGAAGAGACTCAGGCCAGAAGACTTTGTTGATTCTGTCTATAGCAAGGACAAATACCTGGAGGCATACACACTAACTATTAATCCAATGTCTGGCATGAAACAATGGGAAAAGAGGCCTGACATGATGCAGCCAAAACCACCTATCATGAGAAAAATGCCTGGCAGACCTTCCCACAAGAAAAGAAAGCAAGAACTTGGTGAAAGGGAAGAGGCTGTAAAACAGCAAAAACAAAAGAAAAATCCAAAGTGCTCAAACTGTGGAGTGGTAGGGCATTACAAGAACAAGTGTAAGAACCTAGCACCACCCAAAGAGGTGGACAAAGGAGGCAGACCACCATCAATGAACCCTTGGAATGTTCTACAAAGGCAAAAGAACTGGGATAGAGCTGTTAAGAAGGTATGTGGACATTGGATTTTATTTTTGAATCTATAGGTCATATTTTGTCTATTTTGTACTAACTTTTAAAACTCTACATGTTATTGTTTTTTGATTGATAGGGGAAGATTGACCAAGCAACTGGGACACCCACATCACAGTCTACTCTTTCTTAGCATAGCTCACAAGCTGTAGGACTACCACAACCAAGTCAATCAACCTAGCCTTCACAGCCCCAGCCTCAACCAAGTGTCAAGCTGCCTAGGTCCAAGGCATCACCATCAAAGCTACCAATTAATTCTAAATTGAAGAATCAAGAAACTCAGCCTGTATGGAAGCCCTAAGATATTAGTTTATGATCTATATTTTGTGTTAAGAACAACCATTTCCTGTTTTGTTATGGAACTTGCAATTGTAGTTTTTCTAATGACATTGTTGCAGCCTATATTGTAATCAGTGTTCATGAACATATCCACTTTAGCCTTGTAATTATTTTGCTACATGAAATGCAAGGTTCTTTAAAAAATGGTTTGTTGTGCTGAAATTTTAAGCCTTACATCTATAGTATAAAAATTACTTAAATTTCATACCATTCAATATCTTTGTCATCAAAATAAAACAACCTAGAATAAAGAAAGGTGATCATTTGCACTTTGTTTACATGTTAAAATTTGTGGCTACTGCCACTAATAGAGTGCAAATGTAACCCCAATCAAGTATACTAGCCTAATACACCAATTTGGTCCCTAAATACACTAACATCAGTCCAATAAGAACAACTACCAGCACTTGCAATAGCCTAGAAAGGCCATCACATTCACCTCCCTTTGCTTTCTTCATTGCAGCAGAAAGCGTCTTGCACTTCTTGTTAAGTCTTTCCTTTTCAATCTCCACCCTAGCCTTTTGGTCTTCAAGCAAGCAAACCTGTTGTTTCAGAACACCTATCTCATTCTGCATCAGTTTTTTGTCCAACAAAAGCTGATTAGTAAAAACCCTCTGCCATTATAGTATTTCTTCATCAAACCATTTGAAAAACTTGCATCATCTTCTACCAGAAGCAGCATCATATAATTTGCAAGCCACAAATCTTCTCCCAGGGTTTTTTGTAGTCCACAAAGTCTCCAGCTTAGGTGGGATGCCACAATTGCACTTGTTTGGATGAAATTGCATAGCTGAATGGTATGAAGAATTGGAATTGGACATCCTACAAATAGAATTGTCAATTTAATTATTACAATGCTTCAAAATTCTATCTCCAAGCCAACATTACCGATTCCCATAACTCAATTTACCCCCAAACCCTAGAAATAAAAAACGCCCAAATAATTTGGTACACATAAACCCTAAACTGAAATAGGATTTTAAACCATTATTCTTGCAATTCCAATCAATTAAAACTTGTAAACATATGCGACAATCAATGAATTAGAAGGATAGTATGAGAGATTACCTGAAATTGTCTTCAATTGCTTGATTTCTTCAATCGGTTTTTTCACTGTTAATGGAGGGAAAAGATGAAGGAGATTTTAAGAGGAGAGAGAAAAAGGTAGTTGGGGGGGGGGAGTAATTTGGGCGGGAAACGTTAAGTGGTGGGCCCCAATAACGTATAAATTGGACGGAAAACGTTATTGGGTAGTGCAACCAAAACAATTTCCATCTTGCGGGTAGTTGTAAACAATAAAAAAAAATGGGTAGTTGTTCACAAAACACCCTATCTTCCGGGTAGTTCTGGACAAATTTTCCTTTTTTTTAATTTATTAAATTAGAATAAATATTTACGCGAATAAATATTACGATTGTGTTGAATTTTGTTTAAAACAAGTATTAACTCAATTAAACAAGTACTAACCTATATAAATATATATATTAAAACCAACAAATTAAGGAAATTAGGATACTATATATTATTGAATAAAAAAATTACATCTGTGATAGCTGTAAACCCTAATGGTTTAACCCGATATTATGTTAAGGTTTAATTAAAAAACAATAAACTAATAATTGTGAACTAAAAAATTGAAAACATCTTGTCCTCCAACGTAAGATCAACAAAATCAATAAATTTTAATATTTTGGGTACTTTCTCAGGACGCTTAGTAAAGGCAGTTGGCATCCATATTTCTTCATTTGAAACCATATCATAAAGGGTTTCCGCAACCTCAAGTACACGCTTTCCATTTACGTTTAATGGAAACTTTTCGAACATAAATTTCTTTTTATAATAAGAGTTACGCTCGAGCCGAAAGATTTTCTTAAGAAACTCTGCCTGACCTTCAATCAAAGGCTTAATCTGTGTTACACCACATGCTATGATTAGTCTTTTCATATATATGAAATTGGATATAATCTCTAGCTTGACTCACATCATCACCAAGTATCCCGGGAGGATGTCCACCATCCGGGTTGTCATCGTATGACATTCCATTATCCATACGATACACTGAAACTTCATCGCAAAATATCACTTCAACCGTAGGTAATTTCCCACAATCATACAAGATGTCGCTAACTTTCTTTTCCCCAATAGTGTAAAGTAAGTGTGAAATAAATATACTAAAGTGAATAATGTCAAACAAATGATCAAAGACTGCTTCTGGATTTGGAGGCATTTATGAAGAAACTGAAATTATAAAGATAAAGGGTTTGATGATTCAAAGAGAAAGCAATTGGAAATGAATAACTGTGGTTATGTAATTTTGTGTCATGCACTTGACATGTATTTATATAATTATTATGGCGCCAAAATTCATCAATTTTTCCACCAAAATATGGCGCCAAAATGTGTGCATTGACTTCCCTCAAATATATTAATTTAATTTATATTTGATTACGTATAGTAAAAATGGAATAAATCCAACATAATAAATAAACAAACCTTGCTTAACTGATTATATTTCTAACATTGTATATAGGTTTGTCATTTTGCATTCTATATTAAGACATTACATGTTACAAAAAAAATTTAAAAACTATACGTCTAAGAAATAAAAAATAGATAATAGGTCATGTAATAAACTGTATTTGGCGATTACATATATGGGCTTAGTCTGCTAATTACGAAGTATCATACATTCAATTTCAATAATAACAAAATTAGATAGTATGTAGGCATGTCTGACATTGTATATAATTTTGACATTATGTATTCTCTATATGGACATTAGATGTTGGTTTTGAAAAAAACTAGTGTTTGTATTATAGGTGTACGAGTTTTATACGAGTTTTTATGCATTTTACGAATTAATAATCCATACATAATCAACACCTAATATTAACGTATTGGTATTGACCTAAACTATAGTCTTGTACTACATATTGACTGTCTCATTCTTGTTAAACGTAAAATAAATCATATTGATAAGGGTTATTGGTAAATGATAAATTTTAGTAATATCTTATAGTCAAACCTTTTTTAGTTAATCAAATATATATTATATCTGTTTATTGAAAAAATTGTAAAGTAAATAAATTTGAAGGTCAACAAGATAATATTCAAAAATCATTAAATAAAATATATATTTTATCTATTTATACACGTTCACACGATTTTAAATAGGAAGTTGTATTGTTGGCAAATTAATAAAACATGGATTTTTTTTTTTAATTTTTCTTTTTGTTAAAAATAAAAGGAAAATTAAAACCACTAATGCACAAAGTGGTAGTGATGGATACTGCTATGCCGTAATTTGAATCATCACAATACTGAATTATTAGTATTATAAAAAAGACGGTAGGTCGTGCTATCAATAAAAAAGTAAAAAAAAAAAAAACAAAAAAAATTAAAAAAAAATTAACAAAGTGAGTAAGAAATAAAAATTTTAAAAATACATAATAGGTGGTGTCATAAATTGTGTTTGGCGATTACATATATGGGTTTATTCTGCTAATTACAAAGTACAATATATTCCATTTCAAAATTAACAAAATTAGATAATTGTAGGGAATATTTCAAGCATTATCCCAAACTTGAACTCCACTGTGATCATATACTTAAGTATGGTGGCGTCCAAAGGGAAGGAAGCTAGAGCAAAAGAGTCGCTAACAAGTTTTATGAACTTGTAAACTGTTCACGAGGTGAAGGTTACACCCCTTAATGATCCATGAGATCGTCAACTCCAATAGGTCTAAAATCATGACTGGAAGTTCGGGGATGAAGGTATAAATCCAACCTAAAAGAGATTGAACCTGCCCTAATATAGGTCTCTACTTTAATCTGATCGTATTCATGTGCGCTTTCTGACTAACATGCAATCAATAGGTTTACCCTAAACCTGTTTAATCCACGTTTGTTGAATATTAATGCACAAATAAAACTATTAGTGGCGATCACTTGAATTATAATCAAATTAACCCTAAACAAGATTATTAATTATCTTATTAAGCGTGATTACAAGTACCAATTCCCTTTAAACATGCATAAAAGGTGTGATCAAGCAATAACAATAAATATAATATCAAGCAACATAATAATAATCATCATCATAATAACAATTATAATTATCATAATCATGTTAAAGCATAATATTAGTAGCAAGATCCTAGGCATGATACTAACAAGATTAATAACAAACCCTAGCATGTCACTAAACATTAAAGATCAAATATATAGCCCTAACATGTTACTAACATGCATATTAGGAAATACAATAAAAGGCATCACATAAATCATAATAAGCATATTTGATATTAGAAATTATAGTTGTTACCCTAAACATGATATTAGGAAGATCAAAACACCCTAACATGACACTAGGAAGATCAAAACACCCTAAACATGATTTCTATATCATAATATCAATAAATCAATTAAAGCACTTACTTGGATGCCTCGTACCTCTTTCTAATAACAAAATACACGCGTTAGTAACTTCAAGGAAAATAATAAAACAAAGAATTAAATTAAATAAGATTTAGAAAGTTTAGACTAGATTTGGGACCAAACCCTCAGAAATTAAAACCTTTCACGTCTAGGGCGAAGGCAACTTCGAACTTGGCTAGGTGTTTCTAGATCTTGTGAATGCGGAATTTTGTATGAGAAAAGCTAGTTTAGAAAAGAGAGAGAAAGAGTAATCAAGAGATTCTTGATGAGAGTTGGTGAGAAGAATTGATGATGAATTGATGATCAAAACAGAGGTTTTAAGAGACTATTTATAGTGAAAATCAGCCGGATATGATA